GTGTAGGGGTTTGGGGTTTAGAGTCTCGGCTTGGCAGAGTCTGGGCCCAAAAAAGGGTCTCGGCTTGAGGGCTACAGAGGCTTGACCTGGCTCTAATTGGGTTTTGGTTTTGAGGGCCAAGGGTTTGTGGCTTCAACTCTCCACCCTAAACTTTCAACTTCTGGGCCCTAACCCCTAAACCCTAAACCCTAAGGCCCTAACCTTCATTACTCTTCCTTTTCGCGGTCCTTGTCTCCTTATTTCGTCCGTCCAGGAACTGTGACCAGAGCCAGGGTCCAAGGCTTCTTGGTTTTCGACCCAGCCCTGTACTGTAGGGGCCTTATAATAGCTACCCATACTATTTTGGGGGGGCTCCTTATTATAGCTATATACGAAGATATACCCCAAAAATCCCCAAAATACCCTATTCAGGCCCTATTCTAAGTTTTCAGGCCCCTACATTACCCTGTACATCCCTGTCCCTGCAGCATAGCCTCAGAAGCCACGTATACGGGTCAGTGCTTCAGGCTCCCGCTGGCTCATGTGAGGACCCGAGCTTCAACCCACCCTAAACCCTAAACCCTAAACCCTAAAACCCTAAACCGGTGCGACTTTGTCAGCTGGGCGGGTGGGAAAAAAAAACCCTAAACCCTAAACCCTAAAACCCTAAACCCTAAATCTGCAGGCATTGGGCTGAGCATGTCTTCGGTCACTGCTGGCAGAAGCACGGCAGGCTAAACCCAAAACGCATGCCGCCGCCAGGAACAGAATTTGGGATGTAGTGCGGAGGCATCCGAGAACTTATGCTTTCAGAGACTCATCAGAGACACCAAGCCACAAGCCGAACACACTGAGCCAGCAACAACCTAGACCCCCGATTTGTTCCCTAAGCTTCTGAACCGGAGATCACCCCACATGCCTTTACTTCAGAGAGAAATCTCCCCAGAAGCCTTTAATTCAGAAGAGCCTTCGCTTTACGAATGACGGCGGGCTTGTCCTTGCCGATCCGCGCCGCTTTCGGGGAACTTCCGAGCTGCAAATCAGCGGCATCAGCTTTGGGGCTTGGTACGTAGTACTCAACCGTTTGGGGCAGATCATACTACAATCATCTTGTCATATATAATACTCACACAAGCATATTATGACATCTTTTGTGCTAGGGTGGTCAGCCATAAGATTAGGGTTTTGTGGTCGACAGGCTTTCAGGGTGTGGAGTTTTCAGTTTTTTGGTTCAGGGATCAGGGTTTAGGGTTCTGTGGTTGGCCTTGTTCAGAGAAAGGGTGCGACACGTCCAGGCGAATTAACGAAAGCCTGTGCAAAAAGGGTGTAGGGTTTGGGGTGAGAGCTTTCCATAAGGAGTTGCAGGGGCTGGGGGGTTCAGGCTCGAGACTCTCTCGCAACTGGTGTCTTGAATTTGGGCAGTGGTGGCTCTCGGATAGTTTTCTGGGGATCGTGATGGGGCGCGTATATGCTTTTCAAGTCTGTGCTCGGTTTAGGGTTAGAGGGCTAAGACTTATGGTTCACTGTAAGTCTGGATGAAGTATCAGAAGGAATCATAATATAATATCCCGTCCTACTGCTAAGTTGCATGTTGTAATTCCCAAGGCCAATCCTATTTAGGCCAAGGTATTGACGGTTTGGTACGGAGAGTTGCGAGCTTTTGTTTGTCTTTTTCTGGCATTCGGGTCCTGGATTTGTGGCTCTCGCTTTGGTGGGTTTCGCTTTTAGGTGTAAGGCTCATGGGTATGTGGCGCCCCGGAAAATGTGCAGGTCGCCAGAAATAGGCGAATTCGCATAACCCAAAAGCTCCAAGCTCCTTACCCAGACCCCCGGGAGGATCTAGAACCCCTAGTTTGGGACCCTATACTACTAAGGGCTCTTTACAGGAACCCCCATTAAGGGATCTGCTTTGTGGATCCTCCCGGGGGTCTGGGTAAGCAACATCCTACAACCCCAAGGAGGCAACAAACAGAGATCCTTAAAGCTACCATCCCCAAACCCTAAACCTTGAACCCTATAAACCCTGAAGCCCTAAACCCTAAACCCTAAACCCCCTAAACCTTGAACCCTATAAACC